TTATGATCAAAAGTGCACGCCAACATTGAAAGGAATTTGCATTTTGTTGAAGCCTAAGTTATAAGATGCTTAGTTTACTTTTGTACCTGTGACTGTGTACACACTAAAATAATTAGCATCTGGAGCTAATTTTTGCTCTAAAATTATTCTCTGAACCTATTACCCATTCGCGTCAATCTCACATGAGGCTGTGACTTGTTTCAGTAAGTAGAATGAAGCTGAAGTATTATACCCTTTGCTCAGTAGATGTAAGTGGAGTGAAAACAGGAACAGCAGTTGTAACTAAAAGACTCTTTCAGGGTAGATTGAGCAGATAAAGTAAGGGATAGTAAATAAAATGAAGCAGAATTGAAACTTGTCTCTTGATGGTGATCAAGTTGTTGAACAACAGTGCCATATGCCTGAAACCCAATACAACTGTAAACTGATGTTACTTTAATATAACGAGAAAATGTCTATTGACATGCTTCAAAAATACTCAAATATGTCAAATACTCCCTATTTGACATAATCATCAATATTCCATTTCTTAGAAGGATTAATGATAAAAGAAATGCCATTCTTTGTTTTTGATGACTAGAAATACAGGCACAAATCAGTTGTCATTTGAGGTATTTGTAAAAGAGTGATGATTAAATGTTTAAGAGTTTGAGAAAATATACAATGGTTTCACCGACTCTTAAAAAGCTAGTCAAATAATTTCATCACATGTAAGTGTTACAGTTTAAATGGATTTACTAAACACATGAAATTAAACTGAAATAAATTTTGAAGCATCTGTGATCAAATACTAATGGAAGTGTTTTTATTTAAAAATAAGTGAGAATGACACTCAGAAAATGAAAAATCAGAAATTATGAAATAATTATATTCCAGATGAAGTGGTAAAATATTGCTTCTAAACAAAGAGCAGGTAAACTTTTCAGCTTGATGTGTTGCTGCCATTATTGCTCTAAATGACAATATCTTGAGTAAAGAGTGGCTGTGGATCTAAGAATATCCTGATGGCATGGGCGAGACTGGAAAAGGGAGACACAAAAAAAGGAAGGAAAGATACAGACTGTTCCAGCTATCAAGGTTGAGACACTGGCAGCAGCATGAATGTAGAGGAAATAATGAGGAAGCTTTGGGGTGGGAAATATTCAAAAGACTCAGGGGCTGCCTAAATGTGGGAGGCCTAGAAAGGGAAGGAGTTCAAGTGACAGCATAAGACTTTCCAGATGGTTTTAGGAGCAGCTGAAAGGAACAACTTGACATAAATGTCCTACTTTTAGACCAACCATGAAATAGGTCCTAACCTCCAGCAAACTCTTCCAAAGCCACTAGTTTGTCCTTCAGAAAGAATTTTGTTCTAATAGAACCTTGAGAAAATAGTTCCTTTTTGACTTTTATTTTGACCTTAACCTGGAGAAAATGTAACTTTATTACAGGAAGTTTTATCACAAGAAGTCTTTCTTGGAAATGATCTTTATTGCAATTGTGCTCATTTCCCTTTTGTACCTTTTAAAGAAAGGAGTGACTTAGGCATCTATGTAGTAATGATGCATACCTCCCCCTCGCCCCCGCCGCACTCACATATACACACACAGAGTTGGAAGAAGGAGATCTAGTTACCATCATATTATATGTGATGCCAACTGTTAAGGTAGAAGATAGTGGCTGGAAGTTATTGGGATACAAATACTTCCCCAGTGGTGGTAGTGGGGGGAACCTTTGAATTCAAAATTCTTAGAAGGTAAAGTAGCCACTTACAAAGGGAACAAGCTACCAGGCACTCAGGATATTGTAGCCAAATAATGTGTTAGAAGGAAGACTTTCCATCAAGCTATGACATGCAGTATAGGTGGCAATCCTATCTTCACAATTTGTTTTAATTTCATATGTAATTATCTATAACTCTAATATAGAACTACTATCTGATACAGCAATTCCACTTCTGGTTATCTACCCTCAAGAATTAAAAAAAATTAACTTGAAAAACTATATGCACACCTTTGTATATTGTAGTGCTATTTACAGTGACCAAGATATAGACGTAACCCAAACTAAATATGAGTGAATAAAGTAATTGTGATATATAGATACAAAAACTACTATTCAGCTATAAGAAACAGGAAATCTTGCCTTTTTCTACCATGGGGGTAGAATGAGAAGTTAATATGTTAAGTGAAAAAAACTTAGAGGAAGAATGATAAATGCCAGATGATCTCAGTCATATGTGCTATGTTGTAGAGACAAAACAAGGGAGTGAACAGTATCCAATAAAAATAAGCCCTTGGACTCTGACAACAAAACTGAGGATACCAAGTGGCAGAGGGTAGGAGGGGGAGGGATGGGATATACTAAAAAGAATTTAGGGAGATGAGCAGAAAGATTTGGGCACTTTAGTGATGATGTTGTAACTTTTTACACAAAAGACAAGAATGAACAGTATTGTAACCCAAGTTAACTCAGCAATAATAAAACTTTTTAAAAGGATTAATTGGTTACAATTTATGAACTCTTTATCAAAGGCTGGGTCCATTTGTGCTTTTTTGTATGTACTTACATTCAATCTTGAGGAAAATATTGTGAGGAAAATAAGTTAATGAGCAAATTTGAAAGAGACTCAGAGTATTCCAACACCTGCCTATTACTTCTCAGCTAGTAATTGTTATAGACAGAATGGAAACATATTTGCTTGCCTTAAAGTTATTTGTTTGAGAAGGAGATAGAGAAAAAAGAGGGAAATAGGGACTGAAAGTAGAGGGAAGATGAAAGCTTTCATAATTATTAACACCTTAAATACCATTGGCCATAAATAAATTACACGTTACATATCACAACCAAAGAATCATTAAGTATAAAAGTATTTTTCACATCCTGTTTTGGGTTTTTTTTTTTTGCTTTATGGGTCACACCCGGCAATGCACAGGGGTTACTCTTGGCTCTGCACTCAGGAGTTACTCCTGCCGGTGCTTGGGGGACCATATGGGATGCTGGGAATCAAACCCAGGTTGGCCGCGTGCAAGGCAAATGCCCTCTCCACTGCCATCACTCCAGCCCCTACTTTTCACATCTTGAAGTCTTTCTTTAACCATCCAATTTGATTTAAACAATGACCCCACCTCCCCAGTAACTTGGGATATGACCTGAATAAAATGTCTTACTTTATTTCACTATAAAGCCACATTTGCTTAATATAAATCATGATTCCAAACATTAGGAAAAATTGAGTATACTAGAGAATACGTTATTTTCAATTTGTGCCTTTATATATCCCCTCATAGAACCACTCTTCTTCCTACCACAATGTTCCATTTTTAGAAACACTGTCAGTAAAAGTATATTCGTTACTTTAGGGGTAGATAGAATGACTTATAACCTGTAGAAATGTTTGTTATATTAGCAAATAAACATTTCAGAGGCTAACATGGCAGGCATTATTTATACATCCACATAGGCAGCATCTAAAGATTTTTATGCGTTCCTTTATTTAGTTTTCATTGACAGAACACAAATGGAATCCTCAGGGACTTCTGGTCTACCCTCCAATATTACTAGCTGCTTTAGCATTACAAATCCTCATTGTAATAAGTCTAACATTTTCAGGAAGGCTATATTCAGTGTTCAAACACTCCAACTTACTATTGCGTTGACAATCAGGAGACATTGTCTTTCCAATGCTTCTGCACCTGTTATCTTATTAGCCTTATCCAAATAGCTCCAGCCCTAACAGCAGCTGAAATAACAGATGGGCAGAAGAACTCGAAATTTTTTTTTCACATCATCCTTTTGTTTATGAAATCCCTCCCCCAAATCTGAAATCTGGTAGGAATTCTGTTTGTTATCATTTTATGTTTTATTCCTATGGCACTTAAAAAATATTTAAAATAAATTTTACAGAGGGAGATGAAAGAAAGGAATAATGTATGCTTTGGAAATTGTCAAAAAAAGAAATGGGGATGATGAAATCATGTGGAATTGACAAATTCATCTTTGCTTTGGAGTATAATTGGCAGTAACCAGGTTCATTTGATGGCTCAACCAGGAAAATGAGAAGGGGTGAGAAAGGACAGGGAAGTAATTTGATGTATAGTTCAGAGGGACAGTCAGAGTAGGCATCATAGGAAGTCTAAGAGCAAAAAAAGAGACGCACCCTAGATGAGTTTGAAATTGGGCAGGAACTAGCACCTGGAATTGAAATTTTAGGATATGGCCCCACTTTTCAAGGAATAGAATTATTAAAACAAGCTAGAATCAGAATTGGGAATGGGGACAAAATACAGGAGGTAATTTAATAATATATGATTCAACAGAAATTGTTTGACCTCTTGTTCAAATTCCTCCTCTATAAAATAAGTATATACATATAAGGTTGTTTTGATCTTAAATGGGAAAATATATGTAAATAATTTAATCTAAGACCTGACATTCAGTTCATGAATGCTATTTTTATTGGTACTATCGTCAATAGTGAGACACATAGAGAGAATCAAGAGACACACTGAAGGAGAATTACTGGGATACCATCAAGAAAGTGTTTTATCACATATAATGGATTTTTTGCTCAATTCTTTAAAAGGTAGAAAGGTCAGATAATGCCCAGATAAACTGGGCATGGCACTCTGCCACCTCTCTTCCTTTGCTATCTAATTTCTTTTTCTTGGATTACATTCTCCCAAATCGCTTCCTTATGGACTGCATACCACTTATCCACCAGGGCTATTGCAAAAATTAAGTTATAGAGGAAAAAGTACCTAGCAATATATTTGGCTATCTGCCAATATATTTCTGTTATTTCAAAATTCTTAAGTATGCATTTTAGTGTAGCCCCTCATGCTTATAATAGTGACTTAACTAGAGTAAGGCAACACAATTATTAGATAACTGAATATGCCTATGAGTACAAAATGAGCAAGACAGACAAAAAGATACTCAGTGGAATCTAATTTTTGGTCTCCTCTTATCTAGATCCAGAATTGTGTGAGCATAGCTAACTATTTTTTTATGTTTTTCAGGGACCTGAACCTTGGCAGTGTGTACCACTACTGGGTCATCACCATTTCAGGAAATGAGGAGAGTGAGCCTTCACCTGCCACCATATATATCCATGGAAATGGATACTGTGGTGATGGAATTATCCAGAAGTAAGTATAGCTCTAACAATAGAAAGAAGAGGAGTAACACTAGTTAACTTAAAAAGTGATCAGGGGTTGGAGTGTTAGTATAGCGAGTAAGGCGTTTGCCTTGCATGCGGGCAGTCCGGGTTGGATTCCCAGAATCTCATATGGTCCCTTGAGTACCACCAGGAGTAATTCTTGAGTGCAAAGCCAGGAGTAACCCCTGTGCATCACAGGGTGTAACCTCAGAAGCAATAAATAAATAAATAAATAAAAAGTTGTCAGAGTACTGAGTGCACAGATTTAAGAAACAGTGTCCAATGTGTGAACAGTTACCAGTAAATACAGTAGTATCAATTTGTCTACAAGCTTCTACTGGCTTCAGAAATATATCAGCAATTCTTTGCTAAACACTCACATTTCTCTTGTATGTAATAGAGCATTTCATTTCCCCAGAGTGATCATTTGCATTTTATGTTTCGTTTGTTTGTTTGGGAGGAATCTCCAAAGCAGCACTCAACAGGCTGTGAAGGTCCCTACTAGCTATACTCGACAACTGAGCCTTCCGTTCAGTGCAGTGATGCTCAGAACCACTCAGATGGTGATGGAAGGGACCATATGATACTAGGGGTCATATACAGGGTGTGTACATAAACTCCTAGCTTACCTCTCAGTCCCCCATTCTGCATTTTATGCTAGTCAGTCTACCATTGCTTTTGGTTTGTAAGAACTACAAGAATTCTAGGAGTCTTCTGTCACAACTCACATCAGTTAAAAGTGTCTAAAGATTAAGTCACTATTTTATTCTTTACCTATTGCCATATACATTTGATAAAACTGCATATATACTCCTTGCTTAAATTTTATCACTTTATATCAACAATTTATGAAATGGGTCAAAGGTTATATAAATAAGAAAGTAGTCTAACTCGTGATAACATGAAAACCATATATAGTAAACAGTACTCTAGAGTAGATACTGAATGTGAATTTGGACACAGGAAGGTGTGTGAATCAATAAGTATAAAGTTTCCACATGAGCTACATAAAGGAAAAGTGTGATTAGAAAATAAAAACTACATATCTAGAAACTGGATTTTATTGGAAATCAGTGCATCATTCCTCTTATCCAGAGGGTGAGATGTTATGCAAAAATGCCATCAGGATTTTTGCATTTATTTTTAGAAAAAAAGAAATCTTTGAATTTTATTTCTCCTCCCATCACAACAAACACTAAAATGTTTTCTGGCATAAAATAAAATAATTTTATCCTTTGAAGTAGAGAACAAAATCATTTATATTTCATTTCTTTATTGTTAAATTTTATAATTAACATTATGTTGCTTTTTGTAAAGTGGTTTTTAAGTCACATGATGGGTAAATGACTTTTAAAACTATAGACAGGTTTATTAACAAATGTTATGTGGACTATGGAAACACAGGCTATGGGTGAAATTGCTTCATTAAAGTTACTTCTGAGAGAAAGAAGAAAGGTACCTGCTACAGAGGCAGGCTGGGGTGAGGTGGAGGGAGGGAATCTGGGGACATTGGTGGTAAGAAATACATACTGGTGAAGGGATAGGTGTTGGAACATTGTATGACTGAAGCCAAATCATGAACAGCTTTGTAGCTCATTGTGATTCAATTTTTTTAAAAAAAGGTAAAATGAAGCTACTTCTTGATGTCACATATCAGTGCAACATGGAATTTCATGACTACTTCTATATTGAGAGGGCAGTACAAAAAGAATTTGTTTTATGACTGAATAACATGCAGAACAGGAGCCCTGGCTTAGGTGTGGAATGTGTATAAAAAAGAAGCACTCCGTGAATATTTCTTTCTGATCATCACTGACAATGTTGGAGAGGAAGAGTAGTTTGATTTGGTGACAATGAGATATGCAGAAGAAACTAGGAACCTCTGTTTTGGTATGAAAAGACTAATCAGGGGTACAACAAGGTTCATACAGTTAAGCCAGTAAAAGGGCACACCTGCAGTGCCCGGCTGTATGCTTTCTAAACTCTACATGGAAGAAATAGTGCATCTTGTGGAGATGATCGGATGAATTATATCATTTCAGTGGACTTTGCAATGAAAATGATAACTTGTGAAAAGGTTCTGCTCCTTCAACACTCCCCCCTCCGCCCCCCCCCCCACACATTGAAGTATGCTGATTGGTACAATAAAGGTACTAGTTCAAGGTTTTAAAATTTAGAATGACAATTTTTAGAAATGTTATCACCGATAATATCAGACCAGTAATGATTGTTGCATGATTTAAAGTGGCTTGCTGAAATAAGGTATCTCAGATATATATGTTTATATCTTAAGTATTTTTCATCTGTAATTTCAAAACTGAGATGTCAAAATTAATATTGAAGAGATAATATAGGGGTTTTTAAGTGTGGAATTATGATGTGAGCCACCCAATTTCCAAGAATTTGACTCCTCAAGCATAAAGATAAAACCCTCCCTTGTCAGAATGTAAAATTGATGATGCACTGTTTTGTGTATTTAAGATCTATATCCAAATGCATCAACTAAGCACGAACATACAGTTTTTAACACTTAATGAAAGAGAATTGAAGAAAAGAAAGCTATTCTCTTCTCTATCCCACATGAGATAACAGCTTTTAACTTTAATGCAACTGTTGTCTTGTGAAACATGGAGCAACTGAACAGGGCAATCTCCAGGAAGAAAGTGCCCCATCATTTGTGGGTCCAGGACTGAGCATATTCAGAACATCCAGGAAACACTTGTGGTCATTTTTGACAACCCATAATTGTGATTCAGGACTTTTTAATTTAGCACAGGAACAAAAAAAGAAACTCACTAGATATGGAATCTCATCTACAACTCTATTTGGGAACCATATCTAGATGCGTTGTCAAAACACTGCAAAAGGTCTTTTCACTGATCTAAAACCACTTTCATCATTTTATTCATTTAAAATATGTATTTCAGCAAATTTCTTATACTATTATTTTACCTAGAATTGGTATCCTGTATAGACAACAGTATTTATTGTTATCTATAGGTATCAAATACCTATCGATGTGAGTTGTAGAAAATGGAATGGCTGATAGATATCTGCCTAAGCAAAAATAAAGAAATAAATAGTTGGAGGCAAAGGAGAGATGAGACCTTAGTTAATTCAATTTTTAATGGGATGATGATACATGGTAATTTTCTACAAATATAAGATAATTTTATAAACATAAACTCAGTACTCCATAATGTCCCTGATGGGCGAAGGGTTGTTTATAAAGAATCCACAATGACATGAGAATCGGTCCTCATAACTGAGTTTTCCATGCCAGGAGGAAGTGGGGGCAGGACAATTGAGGAGGGGGCAATGGTGGAGGGAAGCAGATACAATGGTGAAGGGTACAAGTTTGGAATGCTGTATGCATCAAACCCTATCATTAACAATATTGTAAATTGTGGTGCCTAAAATTTAAAAAAAAAGTTGAGGAATCCACAATAATAGATATGCCTAAGTTCATGTATAGTTTAAAGATGAAAGTATGAATATTTTGGTAGTTATATATGTATTGAGCCTCTACTATGCATGACACTGTATTACACCTTTAGGTCCTAGGACTCTTCGACCAACAGCAGTATGTGGTATATCCTGTTCTTCTACTTTACAAAGGGACAAGCAATATACAAGCTTAAACAGCTTTTCTTAAGCTTATATTCTTAGTAAAGAAGAGAATCTAAGATGTAAACCCACTTGGACATATTGTTGTCTCCCAGTGCAACCCACAGTCTGTGTAAGCCCACATATGTGGCAGTAACTGGGTACTGTCTGCTATACCCCAGGCACAGTGCCAGGTAGTGGGGTGCTAGCATGACATCTTGGTCACTTTTTTTTGGTATCTTCAAGTCTGGGGGATGCAGGCAGTCTGTTTGACAAGTACTGTGATAGATGCAGATACAGAGAAGACAGCCACCCACTCCGAGCCTCAGAGGTCAAAGCAGGTTTCTCAGAACCTCTTTATCTAATGATAGATCTGTCATTCCTAGAAGATATTTGTGGTGACCCTAATGTTTTGCTTAAACCAGTAGAACATACTGTTTGGGTGGTGACGGAAGGCGGGTTAGAAGTGTTCTTTGTGGCTTAGGGAAACCAGCCCAGGTTTTTTTTTTTTTTAAACTCTCCCCAGATAACCCATGAAATGGCTAAGAAGCCCAAGGCCATCAGCAATTTCCAGGCTAAGACTGGATTTACTGGCAGATCCAGATTGCTGGACACAGTTTGGAATATGAACTTCTTTGCTTTATAGGTTTATAGGCAGGTGAGAACTTCGTGACTCTTTGGAGATCAATGCAATATCCTGATGAGATTGTAAGTCACTCTCCTGATACTCTTGGCACCTCCTAAAAGCAATAAACATGGCAAGTGTTAATTGCTCATGTGGAAAGGAAAAGTCTGAAGCCTCTTCCATGTGTGACAGCTTCAGGTTAGAGGGAGTAAGGGATAACTGCCACATGCTCTGATATCTCTCAGGACAAAGGGATTGTGGCTCTCTAAGTACCTACTATGTGCCATTAATCTGTGCAGCCACTTTAACTTTCATTCCATTCTGGCACCAACATTGAGGAGTTGGCATAGTTTCTCCATTTTACACATCAAAAAAAAAGGAGGTTCAGTCTCTTAAGTAGCCTTGTCCGAAGGAATTTTCTGCAATGATAAGAATGGATTCTGCTGTCCAATAAATACAGTAGCAAGAGCTACCTCTGGCTATTGAGTACTTAAAATGTGACAGCTGTAACTAAGGAATGGAATTTTTGCTCACATTTCAATTAATTTAAGTGGTCAAAGGTAAAATGGTCAGAGAGAGAAATTAAGTGGCTTGATTGCTAGCTAGTTGGGGATATGAAAATTTAAATTCAAGTTTCTGTTTCTAAAATGATGGGAATTTCCAGAAAGTAGGGATTCATTCAGTCTTTTTGCTAACTCTCAGGTCTCCTGTTTTCTACGTTTTATGTAGAAAACATTGTTCGTTTTCTGTATATCCTAACTTACGCAGAATCAGCTGTAAGCTGTGAAAATAATTCCTTTTTTAAAAGGTGGATGGTGGTGGCATTTTGTTGTTGTTGTTGTTAGCAGCATGGGTCTTTGAGCTTCTACGTTCTTGACCCCATGCAAGAAGGCAGTACTTTCTAACCAACCTAACTCTGAGTGTGTGGATGGATAAGCTTTACTCCTAGTTGGAGTGAGTGAGTAAGGAGAGACTCTGTTTTGGAACCTCCCAGTTCTCTATCAAGTCTACCGTTTATTGACTTATGATCTTTGTTCAATGCCTCCCTTTCTTTTCTATGATTTAGAGTAACTTCCAAAACCCCATTTAGAAGGAATATGTGTAAATTATTTACAACAAAGTGAAATTTTACACATACAACTTTTTACATATTTAAATATTGTATAAGCTTATTCATTTAGTCTCTCTTTTAAATATATAATACCATGCCTCCAGACCCCATGCAAGGTTTCACTGGGGGCGCCCCATAGGGGGCTTGGGTAAGACCCCTCCTCTCCCCAAGAGACCCAGACCCCGCACCCAAAAACCTCCAGAACTCAACCACCACCCTGTATATGGCCACTCTCCACATGCTCGGGATGAGCCTCACCCACGAGTGAACCTTTCCCTGGACCATTCAGCTTCCACACTTCATAGAACACACCTTACCCATAATCCAAGAGTGCTGAACCACATTTGATGAGATTCAAAGTATGAGGCAACCAACCTTAGAGCGAAATATTATATTATTTCAGTTCTGCTTTGGGGCAGGGACTGGGGTTCGGCATGGAAACACCCAAAATGTGGTGGGAAGGTGTAATGGTTGGTGGGATTGGTGTTTGAATATTAAATGTAATCAACTATTGTTAACTACTTTATAAAATAAAAAATTAAAAATAAATAAATAAAAATATATGATAAGTAGTATTTCCTCCTAATAGGCAATTTTAGGCATGTCAGCATCTGTACAGAGTACATTAAATTCACCACTAATCAAGCACTCTACACTGTTGATTCATTCACCCATCTCCTACTTCCATTTGCTTTGTTAATTTGCTAACAAAACTCAGAAGATAAGTTTTGTAGGAGTTTTACTTGGTCATTAGAAAAACAAAAAATGGCCACTATAACAGCCAGCTGTTTATCTTACAACTTTTTTTCCAATCTCCTTTTGTTTGTGGAGGGCTCACAAGTGGCCCATAGGAATCTGGTGTTTGGTGGCGGTCCTGGCCAGTATTGCCAACAGTTCAATGCCAAGGCCTCAGGATATGGTACTGCCCTGACCCTACAGGGCTGTGCCTAACAATGATAAGAGAACTGTGGTGCCAGCAATCAAACTGGGGTTAGCATCCTAGAAAAAAGGTGCCTTAACCCCTGTACTGTCTCTCCAGCCCCTACTTCTCCGTTTTTTTTTTATTTTTCTATTTTTTTAATTTTTTAATGAATCATTGTGGGATACAGTTACAGATTTACAGACTTTCATGATTACATTTCAGTCATACAATGATCGAGTACCTATCCCCAACCAGTGCCCATTCTCTAGCACCAGTGTCCCTGGGTTCTCCCGCCACTCCCATCCCTTTCCCCAACCCTGCCTCTGTGGCAGGCACATTCCCTTTTACTCTCTCTCCCTTTGGGTGTTATGGTTTGCAATGTAGGTAGTAAGTGGCCATCATGTTTCTTCTATAGTCTACTTTCAGCACGCATCTCCCATCCTGAGCAAGCCCTCCAAGCATCGTTCACTTAGCGGTCCCTTCTCCATCCCAGTCGCCTTTTCCCTCAGCATGTGAGGCTGGCTTCCAAGGCATGGAGTGATCCTCTGGCCCTTATCTCTATTATCCTTGGTGTTAGTCTCCCATTCTGTTACTTTGAAGATGATGATACAGAGATCCAAAAAGGGAAGGAGATTTTCCCAAGACCTTACAGATATTTTATACCTGGTTGCCTCTGAGAAAAATGTTTCTATGTCCCATTGCAGTTCTGCAATTGATCTGACAAATATCCCTTCTGTATCCTTTCTCCAGAAGCCAAGGTGAAGAATGTGATGACATGAATAAGATCAATGGTGATGGCTGCTCCCTTTTCTGCCAACAGGAAATTTCCTTCAACTGCATTGGTGAGTCTTAATTTCTCTGGACGTTGTTGGGGGAGGTGGGCATTTCAGCATGAGTCCCTTACAATCACAAGCAACGTATGATTCAACCACATGTTACTCTTTTACAGTACAAAGATTTATTGAGTACCAGAGACTATTTCAGGCACCAGGGAATGTGGGGCATTTATCAGAATGGTTGGGTGTGGTGGGAGAAACCCACAGGCAATATAACTATCCCTGCCTGCCCTCAGGGAGCTTATGTTCACAGAGATGAACACAAGAAGGGTCACTTGTTTTTGATCTAGCTTGATGTTACATATGTCATTGCTTTTCCTTCATGTTAGCTGTCCAGAATGTCCAAAATGGTACCATTTTTATAGAGGAAAAGTAATCCTAAATTAAAAGATTCTGAAAATTCCAGTAGCAGAACTGGGATTCAAACCTGCTGGTACCTGATTCTGAAGGATTCCCTGTCTAGTTTATTTTGTAACCTCTAGCTAAGAGTCCAGGTACCAACTGGCCTTGGGTCTCTCCTTGAGCAGAATCTCTGACTTGAGAGAGGATCAAAAGCAGCCCAGCAGAGGACGCAAACGTCTGTTTCCCACCCACCTTCATTGATTCCGATGGGAAATTTGTTTTCCTCTGGCTTCTCTCAGAGTCTGGCTGATCTTGTTGTTTCAGCCCCACTTGGGAGGCCCTGCCAGCTAAGGGCTGGTAAACAGACTGAGGTTGGGAGGCTGGGACGGAATTTTGAGCTGGTCCGATGAGCTCATACTTCCTTTAAGATGCAAATCGATACCTGCAGATCAAAGGTCCCCCAGCTAATCCCCTGGGCTGGAGGTGTAAACTAATCACAATTCATTGGCAAGTACAAAAGACAGAGGTGCTGTATCTGAGAAGGGTAGGGGCAGCTAGAGAGGGGAGGAAAACCTTGGTGGGAAGGGAAAATAAAAAAAGGCAATTTTCTGGGCGGAAAAAAGGCAATTTTCCAATACTGACGAGGAAGAAATGTCATGGAGTCTTCACACAGTGAATTATAGGATGTGTTTAGACTTTCCTTGTAGGTTGTGAGCTCTGTGAGGGCAAAGCAATGCATCATTCTCAGCAAACATTTGTTGAACTCCTACTCGCTCCTTAGCACCAAGTAGGGCTGAGTAGGAACAGCTCAAGAGAGGTGTCACACAACAGTTTGTGGGTGGAGGGAAAAAGGACGACAAAGTCTGGAGGAAGAACAAGTGCCTTTTCAGGAAGGAAGGCCCTTGGGTTTTTCAATGGCAGATGAGATTTTTTCCTATGCTCCATAGATTTCAATATGTAACATAATTAAAGCTTGATATTCACCAAATGGTACAATAAAAAGACCCGAAGACTAAAATTAAGAAAACTAGGCTTTGGTCCCAGCTGTGCTGAAAAGTGGCCGCATAAAGCTGGTCAAGTTGCTTCTCTTGCCTGAGCTTCAATTTACGTCTTGCAGAAGGAAAGGATTCCGTGAGGTGGTTGCTGAGCATCTTCCCTGTACTGTTGTGTGATTTCCAAAATAGATGAAGACTTCTAATTTTTTGCTCTCTACTCAAACCTTCAGTATTTTCTCATCATCCTGATACCTAACTAACACTCCATGCTGGAATATAGTTATTTGCCCCCAAATGGCATGCAATTCAGAGTGTTTCTTAGAATAATGTAGGCTTTGGTACCCTGAAAGAGGTATCTGGGCCCTGGCATCCACACTCACTGTTGCTTTAATGCATACAGCAGCAAACATAAATCAGATAGCAGCTTATCATCTATGGAAGGAGTGTGCAAATATTGATCTATGGGACAAAATTGGCCCACTGCGTAATTTATACATGAAGTCTGAAGTCTTTCTGGAGCATGGCACATATATTGCTTTAGAAATTGAACATGGATGTTTTCATGCCACTACAAGACAGTTGATTTGGTTGCAAAAAAGACTCTAAGGTTCAGAGGGCCTTCAATATTTACCATTTGCTTTTACAGACAAAATTTGCAGACCTCCTGGTCTGTGGATTTGGAGATTTTGATATTCTTAGTTGTTGGAGCTGGATATAGAGAGGATGTCAAAATGACGTGATTCACCATTTTGTACAAACAGAACTGAAGTTTAAGCATACTGTAAGAGAGGACTGGGAGACCAGCCCTCGCTCACCTTGTAAACTTGGGCCTCACTACTCTTTCTATTCATTGGTTTAAATGACTGTCTTGTACATTGAAATCAGTGATTTTCAAACTTTATTAACTGAAGATCTTACAAGGAAAAGAGTAAAGGTGAGGGACCTACTAGGGATTGAGACATGGATTCCCATAGATCTACTTAATATGATGTTATTCTCTACTGGATTTTAAGGCATTTTGTTGACATCTATTAAGCACCTATTATATGCTAGGAATGTTTATAAAATTCTCCTCACACAACTTATTTTTACTGTTCTACTTCCACAGACGAGAAAATTGAGGCTAAGGATGGTGAACTAATGATTTATATTTAAGTGAGGGAACTGAGACAAGAACACAGAGAGTCTCTCAGACTTACTCTGAAAAGCAACTTGAAAAAAGTCATATTGATCTTATAGGACTTTGAGTATAAGAAAGAACATATTTCTATGGGATAGTACATGTAACACATTAATGGGATAGATTATAAAGTTGGAACTGGAGCAATAATACGGTGGGTAAGGCATTTCCCTTGCACATAGCTGACCCAGGTTCAATCCCTAGCATCCCGTGTGGTCCCCTGACCAACTGCCAGGAGTAATTCCTGGGTGCAGAGCCAGGACTAACCCCTGAATATCACTGGGTGTGACCCAAAAAAGCCAAAAAAGAAAATAAAGAACATAAAGTTGTCAGTAGTGTAGACTGTGTACAAGGAAGTCTCTTATTACCTGTATATTGTACATGGATGTGTGAAGAAGGACCTGAGGCTATGGCCCCTCTTCTTCATGGGTAATTGTATCTGTCATAAATCCCAGTTCCCAAAAATCATATTCCAATAGCTAATGCCATGAACTTGAGTTAGACTACCAGCATCCTTGAAGAACAAATGAAGAGTAGACTGTTAATTTTTGGTCCCAACCTTAATAAATTATAGACGTGGAACTAGAGTATCGAAAGGTCTGCTGAGGTGGAAATTGTTCTCATACATTTATCAAGTTAATTGGCCAAAAGCATATCCTTTTTTTGTTTGTTTGCTCATTTTTATTTTTGAACCACACCCAGCTATACTCAAGGCTTGCTCTTGGCTCTATTCTCCAAATCACTCCTGGTGAGCTTGGGGTAACCATATGGGGCCCTAGGAATCAAATCTGGGTCAGCCATATGCAAAGCATGTGCACTATCCTATGCACTGACACTGATTTGTTTGTAAATCATGCCTTAGACATAGGACTTTGACTAGGTTACCATGTCATTGTCCAGAAAATGGGGTAAGTTCTAGAAGCCAACTATAAAATATACTGATTTTTGGAAACTTACAACCTGAACCCCCTTCCTAAGAGTAGGAAATAACTGCCCTGAAATAGTAATAAAGAGGCAAATCCTGACTCAGCTGCAGAACTTGAAAGCAAAGCATCTTATTCTCCTGGTCTCTCTTACAGCTGAGTATGGGAACAAGATCTCTATTCTACCTCTGATCTCTAATCAATTGTACCAACCCTACTGAATTAGAAGTTAGTGGTTATAAGATAAAGCGCCCTATTTATTAAAAGCCATTGTGATCTGGATGGTGGGAACAGCCACATTCTGTGCTTTTCCAAAGTACCAATGACAGCATCTATCACAAGAGCTGGAGTGATTGTGGAGTGAAAGCAGCTTGGAGGTGTCTTCACAAAACTGGTCCTCAGGTCTTATTTGAGCTTGGAAATGGGCTTTAGAGCATGCTGAATTGACTCGCTAACCCTCCATAAGTTTTAAATATGCTTTGAATAGATTTTGTTTATTTTATTCCTTTGCTTAAGCTAGCCAGAGATTGGTTTCTGTTGATTGTCATTCAGAACCCTGAATGAAAATTATTGTCATAAGATGCTATGAGGTTTAGCCCCATTCCAAGCAAGTTGGATGAACAATGTGCACATTAACTGTTACTTTCCCCTGGGTATATATCTATGTGTGATGGGGTATAGGGATTGGAGTGGGGTGACCAATGGCAGATAGCAGCAACAGCCACCATTTGTAGATACCCTTTGGATAGTAGACTTGCTTCATGCACCTTTGTTTAAGGCAAGCTTGTTTGAGGTCTCTTATAGCTGGAGGAAAATTGAAGACCAACTGTGATGTCTCATTCAAAGTCACACAGCTTACAAAAGTGGGATCCCATCTCTTTAGAATAAGAAAACCTTGCTTTTGTCCCCTGCCCATTGAGCATCTCCATCTGAATGATTCCTTCTTTCTTTCCCTCCTTCCCTCTCTACCTCTCTCCCTTCTTCCTTCATTCCTTCCTTGCATGCTTCCTTGCTTCCTCCTTCATTCCTTGCTTCCTTCCTTGTTTCCTTCCTTCCTTGTTTCCTTCCTTCCTTCCTTCCTTCCTTCTTTCTTGCTTCCTTCCTCCTTCCTTCCCTCCTTTGTTCCTTTGTTCCTTCCTTTCTTCCTTCCTTCTTTGCTTGCTTTCTTGCTTCTTCCTTCCTTCCTTCCTTCCTTCCTTCCTTCCTTCCTTCCTTCCTTCCTTCCGTCCTTCCCCTCCCTTCTTTCCTCCCTTCTTCCCTCCCTCCTTCCCTCCCTCTCTCCTTCCCTCTCTCCTTCCCTCCCTCCCTCCCTCCCTCCCTCCCTCCCTCCCTTCCTTCCTTCTTTCCTTCCTTCCTTCCTTCCTTTTTCTTTTCTATTTTGTCACTGACCATTTAGTAGGACTCATGTTTTCCCTTGGTTTGGGAACACCAGCATGAGGGTGGGTGACAGATTTATGGTGGCATTTCCATTTACTTTTCAGAGCCCACACATCTGGAAGTATTCCCAAGGTGCCAATGTGTTCTTCTGTAACACACTGGGACTTCCTTTTCTCTCTCTCCCACCCG